AGTGTTGTTAAAATCAATTGTCATGATGCTCCCTTATCAAACCATGTCAAACTTAGTCAACTATAATGTTCATGTAGCAAAACACTACCTCTAAATAGTTCGTAAAACACAAGACAAGACGAGTTTCTGCTATACCAAGATAATTCTTCATACGTTTGATGGATGCACAATCTATAATACCAACAAAACTCAATCTTTACATATTCCCATTGTTTGCAAGACAGCAAGAAAATAACACTTTGCTTCGGCTTGAAAAATAAGCCTGAGCGTTCAAAATAGCAAACAACCATATTCACATACGCCCGAGCTTCTTTGGTTTGAGTTGCAGCTACCCCTTATATCTTCTCACATTCCTGAAATGTGACAAAACAGAAAATAAAAAATCTGCTCTAAAAGAGTAACAATTTAGAAAATGTTTGATCCTTTTGCACCAAAATGCCTGAATATATACTGAAAATTGAGAATCCATGAAGTAAAAATGGCTACAGAGTTGTGCCGAATGATTCAATGTTGAATATCAGTGTATACTTGGGGCACAGGTTAGACTCCGTCTACTCCGCCACGAAGATAGATAACAAGTCATTTCAATTTTGTTCGACTAGCTGAAAGATGTGCTCTAAATAAAGCTTCTTTGAGGTATGTGACATCTGATGCCGACAAAGACAAACTATTGCCATGCCTTTGCCTTTCACTTTGTTTAAGGGCCTCATTTAGTGCACACAAGTATTTGTTCCATCAAACAATGCTAGAAAGTCTCATTCGTTAAGTTTAGCAAAGACTGTAAAAATTTACATTGCAAAAAACAAAGTCAAATAAACAATGTAGTTAAAAAGAATTTCAAATTGAGAAACATATCAGATACTTAAATTTGCTAGAAACAAAGGATCTACGTGAATCTCATTCAAAGGTCCATCCAGTAGAATTATTTACATGGCATCCTAATATTAAATAATATATTCCTACAAGGGAAAAAGTTCTTACGAATAGATACATAAATTTGACTCACCATTCCTTATCCATATCTCATAGACCAAAGTAGATACCTAGTCAGCGACTATAACACATGAGCCAGAAACCTTGTGACCAGGAAAGATATCGGTTTTCCTCCTCCATCGTGACAAGGCAACCAGCAATTTTTTTATTATAATTTTAAATATTCTTAACCAAGTGTTGGGATTTGTTCATCCATATAGGACAGTTACTGCATTTAAGACTACCATGTGATTAGTAGGATAAGCTGATCGAAAGCAATCATATAATTAGACTAAGGGTAGCTTACATGAAAAATGGCATTTATATCCATGCTGCCAATCATGGAGTTATTTAGGTCTAATCCTCCCTTAATAGTGCTAAAATGCTGAAAATATTTGATGAATCAAAAAATTTGGACAAAATATATATATATATATATATATATATATATATATATATATATATATGTTGAAATATCATCAATTTTTATTTTTATTATTTTATAATGGAATACAAAACTAGACTAGTGGACTTGTTGAGTTAAAAATGTGCATTTGTTAGATAAATTTTCTACATAAGGAAAAACTACTCTAGCTGATGAATTTTAACTGGAGTCACGTTGGACTATTCTAGGAACTTGGATGTCTTGAGTTTTATTTTTTACTTAATTCAACTTTAAACGTGTCAACTATGAATTTATAAAGCTATTCTAGGAACTTAGGTGTCTTTTGAGTTTTTTTTTTTTAGTATTTAATTCATCTTCAAGCAAATCGACTAAGAATTTACAGAAAATATAAAACAATATGTACTAAAATCCAGGTTTTTAGTAAATTTTATTAAAAGTTGACAAAAATTCCTTTTTTTGATTGAAATCTGATAAAAAGTTACGATTCCTATAAAATATATTATTAAAAATAATAACAAAACCTTATTTAATACATGAGTGGAGTCCACTAAAGCTTAGTTTAGTCTTATCAATTTTTTTCTTCATGCATATTAACTACCACCTTCATAATGTAGTAGCATCAACAACAAAGACTAAGCCTTTGTTCCCAATTAATTTGAGGTCATCTACACGAGTCCTTCACCGCTCCATTAAATTTATTGCTAGATGGCCCAGATCTACTAAAATATCCAAAGCAACTAGGTTCTTAAACAACTACAGAAGGTCGTGTTAGTTTTAGCTTGCCCCTCCCTCTTCTACTAATATATTCTACTAAGATCATGTCGTTCTTATAAACAAAAGTCTTTTAGATCTAAGCAAAACATGTCCCAACCAAGTTGTCCTTCAAATTTATTCCCTCAGATTTATTCTTAATCAATGACACATTCACTTGCTGGCCTATATGCTAATTCCAGATTTATTCTTAATCAGTGACACATTCACTTGCTGGCCTATATGCTAATTCCTAATCGTATCACACATACATCTTAGCATCCCCATTTTGGCTGCCTTCATTTTATCCTTAATAGTCCAACACTCACAACTTAAAGTATAACTGAGATTTTTAGTTTGCAAAGATGTTCTTATATCACAAAAATCCTGTGGCTGTTATCCCCAATTATCTGAAACATTTGAATCACGCCTTAATACATGCTCCGTCCCCATCTTCCATAATTTCATAGTATGATTATTATAATTAGGTAATTAACATCTACCTCCATTCATGTGACATGTTTTTACTCTTTCAGATCTCGTTGAACGATTCTGTCAACTATATAACAGCCACTTTGCCTCAATACTCCCTACTTGGATAGGAAGTTCATCTATACCAATTTTTTTTTCTTATCTTCAGAGCATATCTCACTTGCACGAATTAATCTCTTTTAGTACAACTAACATTTCTGTCTGTAATGGAGTTAACAATCATCATTGTCAATGCTATGCCTTTTACCAAATAACAAGTCGAAATAGTTTATTTGTCTTGCCAGGATCTCATAACTACTAAACATAACGATTTTTTTCTCATCTTTAATACACTCAAATGGTTTAGATCTCTACTTCCCCACTCCTTCCCCGTTTGAAGATAACTTAGTGCTAGTTTGGTAGCCAAGCAATGCCCAAAGATCCCATGCCTTTCTTGGTTGGACCAACTCAACCTAAGCGAGTCATCAGCCCGAGGAAAGAAAAGGACCGCCTTTGCTTTCAAGAGAAAAAAAAGGAACTCGCTACACCACATCATTGCATGCAAGGGAGCTCATTCGATTCGGAGATTTGTCCAACCCGTAGCTTTCAAGTTCTTATAAGCAATGGGTCTTACAAAATATATGGATCATAAATGTGTTAAAAGTAAAAATAATGGATCCTACAAAATGTATAGATAAAAGCTATGATGCTCAAATTCGAGTACGTGTACATATCTAAGTGTCAGAACTTTTATTTTCTAAAATGTAGGATATGAGGACATAACTAAAAAGAGTCCAAATTTCGAACACGAATATGTGAATATATCTTTCAAACTTCAATTTTTCTTTAATTTTCCCTCTTTTTTCATGGATAACACGAAAGATATTTTTAATTATTTTTAGATTTATTATTTTCTCAATAGTAGCCAAGATTTTAGGGGCCTCCTATCCTGAGCCCATTTCATTTACCAAACAACCCGCCCACCCAACATCAAGCCTAGCCCCATATCATAGCCCTCCCACCCGATAACACATTATAATTCTACCCCAACCCAATTCCAACCCCAAAACTGGCCCATCCTCCATCTCTCTCTTTTCCACCCCAAAAACACATTTTCTCTCTCTTCCACCACAAACCCTCACCAATCCAGCTATCTTCGACGGCGGAACTGTGTATTGGAAGAAAATGGAAAGAAAGAAGAAGGAGATCGACATTGTCAGGTTGAAATTTGGAGTATCCGACACAATCCATGTCCGTACCCGCGTCGTGTCAACACGGCTACTCTAACAATTTCGAAAAGTCCGAGCATCATAGGATAAAAGTTACAAAATATATGGATCATAAATGTGTTAAAAGTAAAAATAATGGATTCTACAAAATGTATAGATAAAAGCTATGATGCTCAAACTCGAGTACGTCTACGTATCTAAGTGTCAGATCTTTTATTTTCTAAAATGTAGGATATGGGGATATAACTAAAAAAAGTCCAAATTTCGAACACGAAT